CCCCGAGAGCCGCGACCGGGGTTCCCCCATCCAAAGACCTGGGCAACAGGCATCTTAACGTCAATCCCCGCGATCGGGCATCGCCGCTGGACAGAGGGCCTCGGCCCGGTCGGGCGGCGCTTCCAGCCCGGGTCCCAGTTACCCGGATCCCAGGTGGCCCGCGCAATGGGGGGCCCCCGCTTCCCCCCAATGTGCGATATTCCACGGCGCCCGCAAGATAACATGCAATCTAGGCCGGCGAAGCCAACTTGTCTGCCACATGGACATCCCCCGCGAGGCCGTCGAGGACACCCCCGCCGCACGGACCACCAATCTCCCCCCCCCCACACACACACCCGCCCCCAGGCCGTGCGAGCGCCCATGGCACGGTCGGCCTGACAGGGGCGAGGATCAAGGAGTAGGGGCGATTGCCCAGCCCACAATGGGCCGGCGTGACTCTGCCACGTGACTCGCTCGTGATGCCGACAAACGCGCTGACGGGTCGCTCGGCTTTCCCGCGCTTCGGAGGCTGGCAGAAGTGCCCCCTCGCCTGTGTGCGGGCGGTGTGTGGTTTACTGGCAAGAGGCCTGGCATATGTCCTGAGAGCCCCCCCCCCGCCCGCCCGCCCGCCCGCCCGGCAATACTACTCTTGCAAAGGAGGAGCCCCCACACTGGCTGGTGCTTTTGGTCTTTTCTCTTCTTTTTTATTTTCTTCCTTCAGAGTAGAGACACCTTTGGGGGCCCAGGGCGGGGTGTTCTCATCTCCGGCTGGCGCAACACGGAACACGGTGTCCTGGCCGCCGCGGCCGGCACCGCCCACTGTGGAGAAGCAGGACAGGAAAGACGGACGCCGTGTCTAGAGCGCCCCGGGCAATCGAGCCGACCCGACACACTAGTCGGCGGTCTCCGTGGGCCGGTCCCTTCCAGAAGAACCGGCCGCCCGGCTGCGGCGTTGGGTGTGCGCCGAGACCCCCCCCCCCCCCCCTGCCGCTTGCACCGCCGGGGCCGGGATGCGGAGACAGGACCCGCCTGCGCTCCGGGCATCCGCTGTGGAGATGACATCATCCCTTCGATTCAAGCCCGGCCAGCCTGGCTGTCCATAGGCTGCCGACCGATGCCAGCAATCCCCTCCTTTTCTCCCCTCCCCTTGCTTTACCTCCTCCCTTTCCCCCCCTCCCCCCCTTTCCCCACCTGCAACCTGCCAAGAACCTCAGCTCGCTCCCCCTCCGCGCGCCCTGAGCCGACCCCCGACCATGGTTCGCCCTGTCCCCGGCCCTCGCTCGCTCCTCTTCTTCTTCTTCTTTTTCTTCCCATATACCGATACCCATGCGCACACACGCACACACACGCACACACACGCGCATGCATATACATATGCGCCCCGTTGCGATCTCCGGCAAACGGCCGCACACCTCTCGCTGACACCTGCCCCTCGCCTCCCCCTCCCCCGCGCCTGCTGGTCAGTTCTTTGACAAGAAGAAGAACGAAAAGGATAAGGTTCGTCGCCGGCCTGTGTTAATCGCCCTGCCCTGCCCTGCCGCCGGTTCCTGACACCAATGCCATCGCCCTCCTCTCGCCCCTCTGCAGGATAAGTCCAAGAAGAAGGAGCCCCCTGTTCCGACCCAGCTCGGGCGGAAGAAGAAGCGCCGTGGCCCCGATGCTGCCCACAAGCTCCCCACCAGTACCTATCCCCCC